GTAGATAAGAATCATCTTAGGCGAAGGGAAGGACAGCACACACTACAGGGGAAGTCAGCACCACTGGACTAAACCAAAGCTAAGAAGTTTCCTGAATACAATTAAATACTTTGAGACAGAGTAGCAAAGAAGTTAAAAAAAAGAATTCAAAAAAAAATTTAACAATGAAAACACATTTCTAACTTTCATTAAGTAAATTAGCCAAGCCTCTGGTATCTAGCTTTTAGTAACTACCTCTGGAGTTTGGCATTCCCAGTTAAAATTCTAGCTGACCATCCCTGGAATCTTATTACAGAATAGAGCAACTGCCCACAAACATACCAACACATGATATCATATTGCCTATGTTGAAGTACTTTAAATTAAGTTACACGCACATAACAAAAAGCTCTATACTGATTCTGTGGTCACCTTGCTGACCTTTCTCTCCCTCACCCACCATGTCAAACCACATTTGCTATCTGTTCTAATCCCTGAAGCAGATAATTTGCCCATTCCTAACCCACAGGGTCTTTGTAGTTGCCATTCCTTCTGCTTGGAACACTCTTCCTTTTGATTTTCTAATGGCTTGTTCTTTTTCACCATTAATATCTCAGCTAAAGTATTCCCTCTTTAAAGAATCCTTGCCTGATCTCCAAATTTAAAGTAACTCCTTTCCCACAATCACTTTCAATCATATTGCCCTGTTTTATCTCAATTGTTTATGTGTTTACTAGCTCCATGAGAAGAGAGACTATCTTTTTTACTCACAACTTTGTAGCCAGCACCTAGATGAACACTTGGTATATTGTAGGAGCTCAATAAACACTTTTTTTTGATATTTGAATATATGAACGAATGAATGAGTAAAGTGTGACATGTGTTAGGATAGAGGCAAAAAGAAAGCATTATGAGAACACAAAGCAGGCATATCTAAATCATAATGCCAGGGAAGGCTCCCTAGGAGAGGTGAGAATTGTCCTGAACTTTGAAGGATGATAAGAAGCTATATGAAGAAGGAAGGGGACAGTTGGTAGAAACTCCTCCATGGGTCTCTCATGCTCCTACACATCTTGCTGGGTATACCAGTAATGTAAGGTCTTGACTGCTCTTTACTCAGGCCATTTCTCAGGCTTTGTTTGCAGCCAACAATCTTGAGGAACAAGGTAATGTTTCTCTCTCGGGGTAGGGAGGGGAGGGGCTAGGGCAAAGAACAGGTTCTCTTACTGCTTGCTATAAAATGTCCAGTTCCCCAAGTTCAGTGTTCCTCAACTGTGACAAAAATCCACTAGTGCACAGCATCCATCTGGGGGACAAAGAATTGATATACACATATGTGGGGATATATGCCATTTAAACATGGCTGCACTATTGACAACTGCAGCCCCCACAGGCCTCTATGCTGCACAGCATGTTGAGACATGTCTCCAACATGGTGAGATTTGTCACAATTTGTTTTCCCAAACCTATTGTCCCTTTACTGATTGGCTTGTTTACCTGAATTCCTTCTCCCTTGCCCACACC